GCTCGTAGGTGAGCAGGCTATTCACCTAATTCATTGCCGCTTTGAAATATTACAACATCTGGAGGGTTCCAAATGCGTTGCCAATCTTTAAAAAAGGCTTTAATGGCTGGCTTTCGGTTACCTCAGTCACTAGGCGTATTACGAATTTGTAAACTTATTCTTCACATCGGTCCTTTGTGAGTGATCAGTTTCTCTCATGAAGCCTGCGCATTCGTGCAATAGCAGAGGTTTCTGCGTGGCCGTTTCGCTAGTGAGAGAGAAACGGGCCCAACTTTATAAATCTCGACAACGCAACTATTACCTATGGCCTTTATGGATGCCCATGGATGGTGACAATCATGTTTCAAATGAATAATTCCTCTGCGACTTTCTTTCACAAAAGGATAGCCTCTACAAGAGTGTCTTGGCCTGCTTTTTTTAAATACTTTATCATTGAGCAAACACATTACTTTTAAATGGGTCATAAACAGCGCTTATTGCCGTATTGTAAGTCATAACCGGTGTCGTTAATGTCCATCGTTTCAAATAAATAAAATTCCTCCGCCTTCGTTCAGTTTCTATGTTACAGCGTAATGAAGAATTGCTTTCACAATTTGAATTGCTTGAAAAATACCGTGCCGCCAATAATTAACTTTTGGAATCACTTCCTGAAATTCAATTTCTACAAATTGGTCATTGGCGTAAAAAACAGGGATGTAAATGAGAAAATTTATAGAAATCAAATATCTTATATATTCCGTACTTAATTCTTTCTAAGGAAACATTTAAACATATGTATTATGTTTATAAACTTCTTTAATTGAAACTAAAATTAGTGTCTTGAATTGGACGCTAACGACGCAAGATCGAGTCAAATGGCGTTCACTAGGAGAGGCCTTCATTCAGAATTGGACAACCAAAGGCTGAAGATGATGATACTTGTTTAATTTCACAATGAATGTTCTGACACGTTCAGTTGCTAGTTTACTTTATCTCTTCACTACAAGTACAAGTTCCGATTTGCTTTCACATATTTTATGTCACTTCCTTCGATATAGGATATGAAGCGTCGTTCAAGTTATTGATTCAGAGATTTCCATCGTCGAGCGTATAATCTCCCTTTTCAATGAGAGGAATAGTTGAAATGATAGATACAGGGTTATTTACAAACATGTTCGTGCTTTTCATCGTTAAGCAAGAAGTCATTGTCGCGCTGTCTGGAAACAAAATGGCGGCATTTGTAAATCGGTCAGTTACTTACCTAGCTGGGATGCAGGTGGATGGTGATTATGATGGTGTTCAATTATTTCAATAGATAAGAAACATATTCACAAGTTCTTACATGCTTGCTTTATAGCCATATTTTTAAATTTTTTTTATACGTGAAAAGTTGTCAAGTTAGCAGTTGGTTTACCTCATATTAAGTGCTTACCCCTGCCAATGGACATCTACAACACCCGAGGGCATGCAGATGCGTTGACAACTTAAAAAAGTCGGCCTCGGTTACTTTACTTACCAAACGAAACAAAAAATATTTCCACTTTACGCCGGTCTTCTGTGAGGTCGTGGTACTTCCCTGGACGACGTGGCCACATTCCCTTTCTTTTTAACATTAAATTCTTGCCACATTATAATAATGGGCGTAGTTAATAGGAAAGTTTTCTCTTGCGTGAGATCGATCATCGCTATTTGAAAAATAGTGTATTTCATATATTCTAGAGTATTTCTAGTGTCTGGGTATTTACAAGTGAAGAATAGTGTGTTTATTAGTTGCCTGCTTCCCATAATACAAAATTATTTTACTACGATTGTCCCCAAATAAGGTCGAAACAATGTACACGGCAAAAGATTTATTTAACGGAATGAAAACGAAAAATCCGGCGTAATTTAAAATGTTAATATTTTTGACGTCAACGTAAAAATATTGTGGTCTTAAAACTGTTATGTAATATCACAAGTGTCGTTGACTGGGCACTTGCTTTGTGACGTCAAATTGTATAAGCCTCAGCAAGCCTGTATAATTTATGCTGTTTTGGCGAGTGAATTACGTAATTAAAATAATATTTAATTAGGCGCACTTATATTGCGGTCGGTCAAAATAAAATGGCATACAACTTTAAGTAAAGAATAAATGAAAGCGTTTTAAAGGTATTGTGTGAAATGTCAATGTATTGTGTGAAGTGGATGTGTCTAATTTAATATGTTAATTAAGTTGTTATTTTTTTAGAGGTCAAATCATTTATTTTAGATTATTACTAAATTACTTTTAATAATGTGACAAGTTAAACATATAATTGTCTATTTGTTTCGGAAGTTATGTACTTCTGTCCATTGTGCGATGTTATGATTTTCTGTTAATTTCTGAATCTGTCATTTTTCCTTAACTTCTTAAGGTATTAAAAATGATATTTTATGGATATTTATGAGTCGATGGAAATAATCTTAGCATGTCGTGAGACGTCTCATAAATTGCATTTATAAGAATATAATTACGAATTTTAAATCCAGCCTTGGCGCGAATGAACCATCGAGTTCAAGATTTGCCTTCATTGATCAGACTTCGCAAATCCCTTTTGATCCTCGCAAATTGAGTTTTTGATTTCTTTTGGATCGATGAATTTGTAAATTGCAATTTTAAATGCTGATTTAATCGCGTACTTATCGGTGAAGAAAAATTTCGCAAAGGAGGATTCCTTGCGAAATTTTTCCTTGCATATTTTGAAAATGATATTATATATATTATATAAGTCTACTAATCCGCGGTTGTGTTGAGTGGTGGTCTAGGCCTATGCGTGGTGTCAATTATTTAAGTACGCAAAAGACTAATTACAACGTGAGATGAGATATGATAGCAGTATCCTAAATGGGTAATTATTTGCTCTTAATCAAAAGCTATTTTAATAAATTTGGCCGATGGTTAAGTTTTCAAATTTTGAAGAAAGATAATAATGAACCATTTATTTGCTTTTTTAGGCTTAATATAGTAAAGATCTCCTTTTAGCGATAAGACCGCCTTATTGTACCTAACTTAAGATTTATTATAAACTAATTCTTTGTGGTGTACAATAAAGTATATATAATAATAATTAAAATATAGCGTCGTGAAGATATTCAAGTTAAAGTTAAAAGGAGTAGATCTCAAAAAAAGCCGAGTAAGCCCGTAAAGATTTTACTAAAAGCTTCTGCAGGGAAAAATAAATTATGGAATTATAAGAAAACTTGCCCTACAAAGCATTAGGTGTAACTCTTACGGTTTATTATTTTAACACCAAAATTAATTTTTACAAAAATTATTGTTAATTTTTTATATTATTCAGAAGACATGAGAAAATATACGTGCGAGCCAACATCAAATAACAGTTGTAGCCGTAGCTACTGCGCATAAACTTTAAAATTAATACAGAATTTTTCGTTTGAGTTTGCACATTATTTAATATACAACTTGAGACAAGGTAGTTATTTCATGAAATCCATTAAAATCATTTTATACAACGAATATCCTTTACTTTTGAATTACCCGCATTTTGAGACGGCTCAATGATCATATGTTTAAAATGGATCAGAAACTATAGAAAACTTAAAAAGTAAAGTAAAAAAAACGTAATCGAAAACCGGCCAAGTGCGAGTCGGACTCGCGCACGAAGGGTTCCGTACCATTATCTATAAAAAACGGCAAAAACATCATGTCTGTTTTATGGGCCCCACTTGAATATATATTTTTGTAATACATTGTTTTTTAGTATTTGTTGTTATAGCGGCAACAGAAATACATCATCTGTTCTGTGAATGTTTCAACTGTCTAACTATCACGGTTCATGAGATATAGCCTGGTGACAGACGGACAAACAGACAGACAGATAGACAGATAGCGGAGTCTTAGTAATAGGATCCCGTTTTCCCTTTGGGTACGGAACCCTAAAATCCTGCCAATTAATTAGTTCACTAAGTAAACATCGTGCTGTAGCAATTGTAACAGAAATAAATACATTCCAAGCGGTATTTTATTAAAACTTTCATGATAGACTTTCCATATTAGTCTGGGTTATCTTTCACTAAATAATAATCTCGTACCAGATGTCAGACCAAATGACACAGACTCTCTATGTATGTCTATTGGCTTCCAAAGTAGTGTAGCCTGAAAAGCGAAAGAGTAGTGGAAGTAGTGTAGCAGATGTAGCGTAGCGGAAATAACGTAGAGGAAAAAGCGTAGCAGCAATTTTATAAAACAGTGTTGCGGAAATAGTATCTGGGAAATAGAATTTATCCGGAATATGTTAAAGTAATTAAGGTCAAGTAAGCACATAGCAATTAATTAATGTTAATATTTATTTGTATTAATTATTAAATAACATATTATAAAGACTGTTCAAATGCGCGTGAAGGTTAAACGCATACCATTTTTAACTTTTTTATGATTATATGAAATTAAGTGTTTTCTGCACCTGGTTCCCTTCAATAGCAGTTAAAATTATAAATAATTTTAAATGAAATGTTTTTTTATGTGACAAAGTGGTAAGCGAGCTGGCGTTTCACCTGATGTTAGGTGATAACCGCCGGCCATGAATATTTGTAATCGGACGGATTCGCCCATTCATGTACCAGAGAAGACTGTTGCGTGATCCTAACGCAGTTACACCGATTTTGATACGTAATAAAATATCATTGTGATTGCAAATTAAATTTTTCTTATTTAATTTACATTATAATATGAAAAACATTACATACCCATCCCTATACAATATAAATGGTATCATTTTTGGCATACCGACATATAACGAAGAAAGATTCCTATTAATATCCTAATTGTTGCAGACCCGTTTTATTCCGTTTATGTACGGAACCTTTACAAGCCAGTGCGCCCGCGCTTGTTTTTATTCGGGAATTACTCCCGCTTAAAATTCATCATTAGGGTTCCGTACCCAAAGGATAAAATGGGACCCTATTACTAAGACTCTCTTTCCCTTCGATTAGCGTTCAGTGAAAAACGCGATTACTCAATAACGATAACGTATTGCTTACAGACGCGGAAGGGACGGGTGGTGCTGACCTCCAGAGAAAATTGGATATGCTGAATGGCGCCCTCGACGCGGAGCGTGCAGAGCAGGCGCGTAGGCAGTTGCAATACGTCGCCCATTGTTAGTGAATGTGACCTTATTAGTCTATCAACTACACGGAGCAACGTCGAACAGTTGCACGGCTTGTCGTATCACCTCTAGACGTCGCGTTAAGAGCGTTTAAGACAATTTTGAAGTGTTCAAAGGAAATTTAGCAACCTCTGTGAATGTGTATTATTCTGTGCTACATTAAATTGTATTTATGAAGTTGCTGCCACCGTGTCCAGCGCGTAAACCCGCGTTCGGAGTGTATACGGCCTTTAGTAACTATTTGAAGAATGTAACGGAGTTGGAAGTTTCAATCGATTTTGCAGCGAGACATATTTAATCGCAGTAACTTGTGTACGTTCACTAAGGTGAAACTCAAATATTTCAATATTTTTATAAAATAGTTTAAGACACATTAGCCAGATTTACACTTTACTTATTAGTCATCACATAAAATATAATAGTAAAGACGACATTAGAAGTAGTATCTACTACAGCCACGTTGATATCTAATAGTATGTAGAGGGTGTATTAACCTTCATGAATTATTTCTCTAGTGTTGCCAACGTAAATTGCACCTATTTTTATGACACTATTTATCAACAGTTAGAACTAATGAATATTAAGCTGAGCAACGTTTTTGGCATCTAAGTACATCTCATATTAGGTCTTTACTTATGAAATCGCCGTTTTGTATGAAATAAGGTAAAGTATTTTTTTTCAAACTTTTATTCTAAGTAACCCATGCAATCGATGCATCTTTGCCAACGCAGTGTAGGGCATCAATAAGTAGTTTATTGATGCCCTACTTCTAAAAATCAGCTAGACGGGAGGCAAAAAACTTTTCAAAGGCATTTTGTACTGCCTCTCGAAAATTTTTTTCCCGCTAAAAAGTTGTCCAAATTTTGGAAAAATTAATAGGTAGGTGCAAGGTCTGGTGAGTATGGCGGATAAGGCAGAGCTTCCAAATAAACTCTTGCAGCTTGGAAACTGTTAGCTAGGATGACCGATTGACCAAAGCTGGTTGCAGATGTGCGCGCTTCTCCAACATTGTCTTCAGCTCTTCACAGTACGCATCTGAAGTGATGCTCATGCCATTTTGTAAAAAGCTGTGCACCGGCACTAGACCAATAATGTGTGATAATAATGACCCACATCATTTTTCGTTTAGAGCACGGATGAGCAACGTGCGGCCCGCGGGCCGCTTGCGGCCCCTTAAACATGTTTATTCGGCCCGCCAAGCATTTCTAAAATTGAATTTATTTTATCGAATTTCTCCCATCAATATATTGTTATAAAATTAATTATAATAAAATACATCGTTAAATTTAACAAATTGGTTCAATATTTCTTCATTACCTGCTGGTTCACGAACTTTGAAAGTATCCATTATGACGAAAAATGTTCAAATGAAATGAAAATACCAAGCTAATCAATAAGCACAAGACTGACTTCATGTTTTTTTTTTGGCAAAAATTTCATATTTTAAAACAAAAAACAAAATTAATCACAGCTAATCAAGACTTTTTTTGTTAAAGCCCTATTATTTTGTTTCTTAAACAATATCTTTAAGATGGAAACAGGCTCTCAGTAAAGGTGAAAATGTATTATGAATATAATAATATGTAATTGAAAATGTGTTTTATTTATGTTTGTAAAAAAGCATTTATTGACTGCTTTACTAAAATTCGGTTTATTTTAACCAATGCTGTTTCGTAAAAACTGTTTTAATGCAACTTTATATTTATTCAAAATACGAGTATTTCTCAGAAATGCAGGTTTTTAAAAGATCTCACCATCAACGCCGAGCACTTGGTAAATTAACGCCCGAAATCGCGCGAGGCATTACAATATTATTGTCTCTCGTGATGAGATCATGTTTTTAAAAAAAACTGCGGTCTCCCGCCTTTATTATTTTGCTGAACATTTTTGCACTCATTTCAGCTGGCTACTCCGAAGACTCCGACTACACGTCGGACCTTAACTATCCTGTAGGGCAACATGCGAACTGCAGCGCGTCACAGTTTAGGAGTGCAGCGCATCAAATACATACGCCACAGGTATTGCCAGGGTTTCTTTGCAATAACCAACAATATCTTATGCCAGTGAATAAGTAGTAATCCGCAATGAGCTCCAAAGTCGTGACCCCCAAAGCTTGTAACGCTCACTACTCATTATCATCATCATTTTTTTATGTGAAAAGTTGCCAAGCGAGCAGATGGTTCACCTGATGTTAAGTGAATACGCCGCCCGTGGACATCCACTACACTTGAGGGTTGCTGATGAGTTGACAACCTTTTTGGAAATTGGGCCCCGGCTACCTTACTCACCAGACGAAACGTGAAAGTGTTATACTTCCACTTTACGCCGGTCTGTGAGGTCGTGGTATTTACCCGGATGAGCCTGCCCATTCGTGCAACAGCCGAGACTGCTGCGTGGACCTATTTCAGCCTTTTAGAGTCTACTGCTGAACATAGCCCTCCCCCACAGACTGTTACACGGTTATCGGATCTACGAGCTATATGGCCCGTCGCCACTTCACTTTACTAATCTTCTGAGCTATGTCATTTACCTTTATTCTTCTGTGGATGTCTTCATTGTGACCTCTATCATAAGAAATACTGAGTGTTGAGCAACTTTGAGCTTCCTCACGATGGCCTCATGTTTCATAGCGATGTTGGTCAGTAGCTACGCTTAACGTTCGCATGTTGGAAATAACATAAATTTAGTACGCAGAGCCAAGAAAACCAACATGGGCAATTCAACGCTCAAAGTTGGCGCATGTATTGGAGCCAATGCTAATTTATACACACGTTGTGGCCTTAAGCAATTAAAAAATTACTGGGTATAAAAAAAATAAAAAGGGTCCTCGTAATTGACGATCCGAATGGCGTGGTGGGTAGTGTACTTGCCTCCTGCGCCAGAGGGTGTGGGTTCGATCCCCACTACTGGAAAAATATTGTGTGATGAACGTAGTGTTTTTCTAGTGTCTGAGTGTTTATCTAATATATAAAATTCTCGTGTCACAGTTTTCGTTGCCATACTCCTCCGAAACGGCTTGACCGATTTTGATGAAATTTTTTGTGCTTATCCGGTATCTATGAGAATCGGCCAACATCTATTTTTCATCCCCCTAAATGTTAGGGGTAGTCCACCCCTAATTTCTTTTTTTTTTTATTTTTTAGACAAAATTTTTAATTTCTATTTTTTTATGATACAGCATACAAAAATACATGCAACCCTAAATTTTTATCCCTCTACGCAGACTTAGTCGCGGGCAGCAGCTAGTATATGTATAATATGTATTTATTTACAAAAGAAAAGTATGTTTAAGTATGTTTATCAGTTTTCTAGTACCCATAGTACAAGCGTTGCTTAGTTTGGGATTAGAAAATGTTGTGTAAAGTGTGTCCTAAAAATATTAATTAATATTTACTTATCTTCTCAAATTCTTACGAAAGACGTAATTCTATTATTAATAGGATATTCTTACTTAAATAGTATGTGTAAAACGTTTAATTAACCGTTACGTTATAAGTTAACATTCGTAACAAAGTACAGCGTTTCATCGTTATTATGGGGAATCGTGAGGAAACGGATAAAATAAATGTAGATTATCGATTCTACGTACAGATGAGGCATAAAGTCGTCAGGTGTTGTACCAACACAACAAAGTGTTGGCTACGAACAGGCTTGATCAGTGAAATGGTAATGGGCAAATGTAGGGACAGTGAAAACTAATTTTTCCTGTTTTTGCACAACAGTTTTAAATAAGATAGAAATAACTGTGGTAGGGCCACGCAACAGTATTTGCTGTTGCACGAATGGGCAGGGATCCGTTGGTGTATTCACCAACCAGCGTTTTATGACTTACGACTTCTGCGTCTCGTTTGGTGAGCGAAGTAGCCGGAGCCCACTTTATTAAAAGGTGCACGCATCTGCAAATGTCCATGGGCGGCATTTATCACTTAGAATCTGGTGAATCGTCAGCTCGATTGCTACCTTCTCACATGAAAAAAAAATAGATTAAAATATAGCTAATGTTGCTATGGATCTATGTTTTCTAATACCAATTTGTTTCAGAGGTCGTTGGAGGCATCTAGGGAAAATTCGTACGAAAGGGAGGAGTACCACATGCATGGTGATACTGATCCGTTGTATTACAATAGTCAGCCAAGGACTAATAGGTAAGTTCTTTTATTTGTGACTAGTTGTGCCCGCGGCTTCGTCCGTGTGGAATTAAAAAAAATTAAAATAATACTAGCCTAAGTTACTTCTTATTACATCAGCTATCTGCCAGTGAAAGTCCCGTCAAAATCGGTCCAGTCGTTTCAGAGATTAGCGGGAACAAACAGACAGATAGACAGACAAAAAGTGTAAAAAATACTATTTCCTATATGTGCCGTGTATACATCTATATCCATTTAGTAAAAATAGGTTATTTTAATATTACAAATAGACACTTTAGTTTTATTTATCTGTATAGACGTATTAAAACATGTAGAAAAAGTACGAAAAGATTATCGCCGCTGTGGGAATCGAACCTACGTCTTCGGCATTCGCGGCCTGACGCTCAAGCCACTAAGCTAAACGGCTGATTGCCACACCGACGAAAATCTTAACGCCTTCTTTCTACATTGTTGTTTATCATTTGAAGCAATGCTTGGCGCATCTATTGTTATATCCTTTCCAGCATAAAAACAATTTCGAATATCGTTTTACAACGATAATTCGAACGAGAGATGTTGCCATTGCTTGTTATAAATTTTAAAGTTTTTTATAGTGCTAATCTCTGCACTTAAGATTCAACATTAAAATCTTTTCGTACTTTTTCTACATGTTTTAATGTCCAATTTTCTACATGTTTTTTCGTCGCTGTGGCTATCAGCCGTTTAGCACAGTGGCTAGAGCGTTAGACCGCGAATGCCCAAGACGTGGGTTCGATTCCCACAGCGGCGATAATCTTTTCGTACTTTTTCTACATGTTTTAATGTTCAATCTTAAGTGCAGACATTAGCACTATAAAAAACTTTAAAATGTATAGATGTATTGATGTTAATGTAATAATAAAGTATCAATAGATATCTGTTTGAACCATAATGGTCATCATATACATATGTTAATCGCTGGAAACCATCAAAACGTTCAACCCATTATGGTTTCGTGTATGATTGGTGGTTGAAAGTTATATATTATTTACACACATTTCTGTTCGACAGCTGCCAATGGTAATTTATGTTCTTTTAAAAATCAATAATCGAACACTACTATTTAACGATTCAATAACATTCAGTTCATAGCTCGCCGCAACTTTGAATAAACATGTTATTCAAAGTCACAAACCTTTAGTTAGTGAATAATTACCGACTAAAGAATAATGATCTTTGTGACGAATTGTTTCGTTACGTGTAAGAAGATGGTACGTTAAAAAATTGAGCGTTTCTGCCAACTTGCCAATTACACACTTTTTAAGGATTGTGTTTATTAAGAAATAGTATCTTATCTGCCTTTTTGGGCTTCAGCTGTTAGTAAATATTTATCTAGAAAAATTTCTGATATAAAATTCTGTTTATTATATATATTCTGTTTATATAATAAATTATAATGATAGGTTTCTTTTTTATGTGAAAAGTTTCCAAGCGAGCAGACGGTTCACCTGATGTTAAGTGAATACCGCCGCCCATGGACATCTGTTACACTCGAGGGTTCCAGATGCGTTGACAACCTTTTGAAAATTGGGCTCCCGCCACCTCACTCACCAGAAGAAACGCGAAAGTATTATACTTCCACTTTACGCTGGTCGTCTATGAGGTCGTGGTACTGACCCGGGCGAGGCTGCCCATTCGTGCAACAGCCGAGGCTGCTCCGTAGCCCTACCATCGTTAAAATGTCTTAAATGATCTTAAATTTCAAAATAAATCTTAAAAAAGCGTGAAAAAATTTTTTTTATCCGTTTTAATCTGTGGCAGAGCTATTCCGCATCTTTTATTGCTTCTTAAATGGGCTGCCCCAGCCAGGAGAGAATCGCGACCACAAAGACCGTGAAGTATTTACAATTTGACGTTAGCGTAGGGAATGAGCTAATGAGGGTCCGTAAAGGCTGGCAACCCTACTCCTACTGATGTTGTTCGTGTCCACTGGCGGTGGGGATGGCTATCTAAATTTATGTAGATCTATAGATGGTATATATCATCGTTTAAAATGATTCCCCCTTACCTTATTCTAAGACAGGCGTGATGTCTTTTTATTTATTTTATTAAAATTTCAGGATAGAAACATGGTCGCAGATGCACGCTCAAGCAAGCGTAGAGTCTGCATACTCCTGGCGGACCGCTGCAGATTGGCAATCTGGGGGTAAGGATATTAAAATAAAAAATTAAATATTAAAAAATAAAATAAAATTTGATAAAAATACTAATAGTTTAGCGATATATCGACTTGTCAGTTACCGCACGCCCAGTATAATACAAGATAAACTATAAAGTTATCATTTTATATTAAAGGCCCTGAACAAACTCTTATCATAAATTAAAATATTTTTCGATACATCCTGCATTAGCATATACCTATATATGTAAATTAACAGGAAATTTTGAACACAAATTGAATTTTAAAATTATTGTAAATAGATTACATTTCATCGTAGTTTTACTATCTATTTAACGTTTGTTAAATTGGGGTTGGGTCAAATTTAAATGTTTACGTTTTAATATTGTGTTTTAGAGGAGCAGCGGAGGCCGAGCTTAGAGCGGCAGAACACTTTATACGACGACAGCGTAGGCTACGGTTATGATGGCTACACAACCAGCACGCACATTAGGTAAAAAAATTACTCTAAACCAGTCATTTTAACGCATATAAAGTTGTTAAGTTTGCACTTCAAATTATATTTTGCTTATGTACTTGAATATCAATATAAAATGAGTGGGGCCAGGCAACCGCTTCTCTGTTTCACGAATCGGCAGGTCCGACCGGGTAAGCACAACGACCTCACAGAAGACTGGCGTGAAATGGAAGTGTAACACTACTGTGTTTCGTCTGGTGCATGAGGTGCAGTGGGCGGCGGTTATCACTGACTCCGACCGCTCCGGCTCCACCGGTTCTAACATAAAAAATCCCAAAAATGATTGATCATATTTCGCTCCATATAATATTTGACGCAGTGATTTCAACATTGAGAAAGTACGGTACAAGGCTAAACAATTTTTATGTATTTTCTCTCTCGACTCTCAGACGACTCTACAGATTGCAAAATAAAACATCGTGCATTCATTAATTAATTTCTACACAATTTTAAAAATAAAAATCTAACGGGAATTTAATAAAGAAATAAACGCGAAGAATAGTTTTATCTTATAACGGAGAACTAATTAGTTCACGTGCTAGGTTTTGGATTTGTGATCTCATTTAGTCGTGGCTTTATGTAATTAAAGAAGCTAAGGATGGTAGAGCCACGCAGAAGCTTCTACTGAAAGGGTAGGTTCGTCGGGAAGTAGCACGGCCTCACAGAGGACAGGCGTGAACTAATAATAATAATAAATATTATAGGGCACATTTTTACACAATGTTCTCTAATCCTAAGCAACGCTTGTACTATAGGTACTAGATAACTGATAAACATACTTACGCGTACTTTTATTTGGTAAATAAATACATATTATACATATATAGACAGCCAGAAACTAGAAAAAACACTATGTTCATCACACAATATTATTCCAGTAGTGGGGATCGAACCCACACCCTCTGGCGCAGGAGGCAGGTACACTACCCACTACGCCATTCAGGTCGTCAAAACTAAAGTTAATGGTTTTTGAATTTCATGTGGTAGGTGAGGTAAGCCCGTTTTTTTAAAGGCAAAAAATACCCTTAGGCATCGTTATGTACCTAAGGTATAAATTATAACCATTCGACAACTCGCAGGGACCACTCGCATTTATCGCATCAGACCAGTTACGAGGAGTTCTACGACTCGAGCAGCTATCCCTACGGCGTCTACGAGACGCGGCCTTGGGACAGTCGCTACTTCTACGACGAGGGTTACGCCCTCACGTCCACCGAGTATGAGAACGTCGTCAACAAGCGGCGCTCTTCCGTCGTTCAGCTGCCTCAACTACCTCCTAAGCAGGTAGGTAGGCTTTGTTTAGCCCATGATCAAGAACTGCCCATCATTGTTTCGTATGAAGTGTCATGGTTATTTGGAAGTCATTGCAGTTTGTATCTGTATTGTGATTGTAGTGAACGCATTATAGTATTTATTTTTTACTAAGAGACTGGTGAATGCTTGTTTGCCATCCAATCTGATGGTAGCCTTAGCTGGTGAACTACACTGCCTCAGTAAATGCTTATTCAATAATGCCCTGAATATTGTGCGCAGACGGAAATCTTATTACCTTTCTGATATCCCTTCAAATTTACGTTCGAAATCAGTTAAGGCTTTAGTTTCTAGTTAAATATCATAGTGTTTACTGTGTGAGGCACTATTCTTATAAATATAATAATAACCTTCTTGTTTTTGACTGTTTAGCGTGATAATACATTTTCTCATAATTCACATATCTTATTAAATATCTTTTAATTTTATTTATTCTTACTTTCGTGGTTAATAACAATATTTTCTGTTGCCTTCTAGTTGCCGCCTTCATCACGTTATTCGGATTATAATGAGATGGCTCCTTATAGACCAAGGCCGAGGCGGACAGCTGCAAGCCTCCCAGGTATTTTAGTATGACATAACAATATCACGGATATTAAATAAAACGTAACTGAGTTTCAAGCGATATTTTGTAGATAGCAAACGGTTACGAGCCGTACGTTGCTCGTGAATGCAAATAACAGAAGGCAGTTTCTTTAAAGTACCAATTGTAGTTTTAAGGAACTTATACTTAGGTCTGTGGTCTGTGAAAGATACATCATAACTAGTGAAAGTAATTTTAACTATTTTTTTTCCTTTATTAGTTGTCGCCTTACATAATTATAATACAAGTTAAATAATTTGATTGACAAATTTTATATGTATCTGGCCAAAAAGTTACCTTAAAATCAATTAATGACAGCAAAAGATTTTATTCATAAAAATTTATTTTTATTCATAAAAATAAAAGAGAAAAATTGATATCATATTTTTAGCTAATAGTTAAAAGTAATAGAGGAGCATTTAAAATAGAAGGAATGTGTGTACGTAATAAAGGTAACGTAAAAATTTTACTTTCATTTTTTTTAAACGGTCCTAAAGAATTGTAACATCAAAAACAGTTTATTACTTTCATTGTAATAAAATGATATAATACCATTTACTGTTTTTAAATATAAAGTACAAATTCACAGAAAGAGCCCCTTATTTATAATTCACCTATTCTGCATCACATTTCACCTATGGTAATCACATTGACGATACATAAATAAATATGTCGTCATTGGATAAATTACGATTTACAATTTGTTCCAACTAGAGAGTAGGGGATTCTGTCCGCTGGTATTCCCATTGACTATAAAAAAAATAATATGTCGTCATTCACTATATTAAAAGTAACTGCCTTTACATGTCCCACTGCTGGGCAAAGGCCTCCTCTATACAGAGGGTATCAGGGCATAGTCCACCACGCGCCCCCACTGCGGATTGGCGAACTTCACATATCTTCGAATATATTTTTTTTTGTTATTATTTCGAAAATATGCAGGTTTCCTCACGATGTTTTCCTTCACCGCGGAGCATGTGATAAGTCAACACTTAAAGTTAAAAACTTCATTGGTGCCGGCACCGGGGATCGAACTCAAGTTGCTCGAGTATATTGAATTATAGGCGAGCGCCCGGACACTGAGCTATCACGGCTCTGTTTACTTATTATATTCACAATATTACATTCATATTATTACACTGTGTTACAATTTGAGAGTAGGGGATTCTTCTTTCAGTTGTGTTTCAATTATGGAGGATTCCTCATAGTCGGGTCGGGTATACTTTTGACGCGTTGACACTGTTTCACCACCAGCCACGCCGTCGTCGACGCCGAAGCGCGGCCGGGCGTTGCCCCTACCGCCCAGCAGCGATCAAGGCGGCGGGCGCCGCGGCCGCCGCTTGCCGCGCCCCCCGCGCGCCTCACGTCTGCCCCCTGCGACGACAGCGCCCGCCGCCCCCGCCACCACTGTCCCCGCGCCAACCACTACACACGTGCCTTACACACAAGGTTGATTTCTCTACGCTTGCATTGGATTAGTTACATAATTCTCGTTTTATTAATAATAATCAAAGACAAAAAAAACGTCTACGCTTGCCTCGGATTAGTTAATTCACGTTTTAGTGATAATCAAAGGAGCAAAAATTTGAAATAATAATAATAGTACATTTGTTTATTTATTAAAGTCCAAAGTAAAAATATATCTTTGAATATAAGCATTTCCTAATATCGAATTAACTTAACATTTGAAAAATAAGATGTAACTTGTGGTCCTCACACTATGCCTAGCCTGTATCGTGAGAACCAAATCTAAAATGTATACATATTCTATTAAAGGCAGTGCGTGGTGAAAGCGGAAAACAAAAAAAAAAGATATTTAATAAAAAAATCAGTTGTCGATTTGTTGTTTTTTGACAGTTTACGATTGGCAAATATTTATATATTAAAATTTTTGCTTTATCTTTTTCTTGAAAATTTGTCAATAACGAAAAAATAAGAATGTGGCGCCAGCTTGTCTTCAAGTTCATTCAGTTCTTACTGACATTGTTGTTAACAACACTATACAGATCTGTCAACTTTTTTTTTTGGATTTTATGCCCCGGTATTAAGGAACTCGGTCAACCCTTATTGTTTGACAAGGCACAGATAAACACACACAGCTGCCCGATATGTATATTCAGCGAACGGTCGTTAGAGCTATTATTCGTTTCTTAGTTACGAGTAACGAGGCGTTAACTAGAGTTCCACAAATTTTTACGTCAGTTACTAATACCGAGTGTCCATTTGTAAGCAACGTACTGATCCGAAAGTTTTGTTCTCTCAAAAAATCATTTGGATCTCAGATAAAATTATTTTTTTTTACTTATTTTAGGTATTTTAATAAAATGAAATAGCGTAAAAATGTTGAACATTTATTACATTTGGCAAGCAACATACAGTAATTTGATTTTTAATGATTTATTTCTATCGCACTTTATCTTATCACATCATTCATGATGCTTACAAACATCAAAAATTGTTGCTTATAACATTAATGCTAAGTTACTAACCGAAGTCGGCCGGTAAACAAATTATCAACGCCTCGTAACTTTGACAGCTTTTAACGTTTAGAAAAAATATATAAACACCAGTAACTAACATTTTCATACAATTTGGGTAACGGATCGTCAAACGGTGCCGTCCAGATCCCTCCCATCCGTTAGCTATAAGGCTTTGTAACTTTCACAACGACTCTTAGATTACAGGAACGGTAGTAACTAACTATCCGTAGGTAAAGTAACGGTACGTAAGGAAAACGGCACGTCGAAATATAGGAACCATCTATCTGTCGACGCTATATTGTATATCGTTATCCTTGCCAAAAATAATTTAAAAGAATATTAATAATGAAACATTCTAATGGATATATTCTAAAGAAACTGATATTATTTTATGAGGTCAATTTGATATAGGATCGGGTAAACTTTTTTAATGCTAATGCCAATGTTTAAGATTATTAAAGCAAATCAACCCTTATTATTTTATTCACTATACATAAACCACACGTAAATATTTCATTTTCATTCTTGTAACGCGTAACGATAATCATAAGTGTTTTAAACACGTTAATCATAAATTGAACAAAATTAAGGCAAGCCACGATTTTATTTACGACAAAGATGTGTCGTTGTCAATTATCAAATATCAATGATAAATCGAAAAGAACGTTCTCAAGTAACAGTCGCTACTTCAAGGAAAAACTTCGTAATGTAGTGATAATGTGTGCGTGGTTCATTAGATGTTATGTGATGACCGCCATATCTCACCTATGCCAAGTTTTAAGAGTGGACCACGGCTACAATAATCACCAGACAAAAGGGAAAAGGAAAGTTATTCTTTCACTGCACGTAGGTCTTCTGCGAAGCTGTTGAACTTTGCTTGCGTATTTGTGAAATAGTAGAACTAGTGCTACGTGGCACTACCATATAGTCTATATAAATCTCATATGGTAATATATGAGATGGTGGTTTTTATAAGACGAAGGTTTATGTAGTATTTGTATATTAATATATACATATTAGAACTATTCGTCAATTTTACCTATTCGAACACAGGTTGTGATTTTATTCCCAGAAATGATAAGGAATTCTCTGATTTTATTATTATTCATTATGAAGTACAGAATTAATTTCGTTTCTAATTGAACTGTTGTTTTACAGAAACCGAGCGTGCAGTGCCTGACGTAGGCTATGGCTATGATACGTACGGTTACAAGCCTCAATACCAAGACACTGCCGTTGAACAGTACCAAGATAATAATTATAATACCGGGTAAATTATGTTTTTAAAGTTATTCCTTGTTAGTTAGAACACTTCCGTAAATTCAAAACAAAAAAAAACGTATTACGGACTTAAGAAAGTTCAAGTCCGTCATACATTTTCAAGGTTTAATTTTAACCTCTAGAAAGTAAGAATTTCACTGACAAATATAACCTATACATATATGTTTTACATTTTGTTATAATACAGAAAAATATTTTCATGTTTCTTACTTTTATATTTTTTTTATTTTCTGCAAGTAGGTTTTTTGAATGACCTCTTTAAGTAAATTTCATATGACTTGCATCGTTGGTTTTAACTTATATTAATTATCTGATAATATGGTCAGACCAAATACTTGAGAAGTTCTTTAATTAGATTATCAAATTTTCCCAGTTACTTTTAAAGTTTATTTAAGTTGATTATACATATATTGTTTATGTTGTTATTTATTTTACGTATTTTCTTTGACAAACTTTTAACAAAATTGCCTTTTAAATTTTACTTTTTGTAGTTACGATGACGAAGGTATGCAACCTTTCTTTGACGAAACTCCTCACGCAACACCACCGGCTGCGACTGGTAATTATTACACAACGTTTTTTTTCTGGCATTAAAAAAAATTAACGAATCGAATAACAGTACCACGCGTAATACGTTCGAGATAAAAGCTTCCGTTATACGTATAGCTACATGAGTAATAATTATTCGATCAGTATTTGTGTGATTCCGTAGAATAAGCATGTGGCGTATGTGTAGTGATTTATTTCATAAAGTGTTCGTTTTTCCAGCACAAAAATCAACGTGGGGTGAAGCGGAAACCGCAACGCAGCCTTCCTATGCGGTAACGAGCGACCTTGATACCTTGGTACCAAAAACGTCAGCTATCACACATCATTATTTACCCCAACCACCCGTTACAACTAAACAGGAAACATACTCTAGTCAAAACTATCAACAATACGACCTACAGTATGAGGACCAACAACATTTCAAACATGAAATTAAAAACAAATCTTATAAAGAAGAAGAGAAACTGCTTAAAGAACCAAAAAATGAGTTTCAGTATCAAAAGCCGTATGAGCAATCCTATCAAGAGAGTTTATCACATGGACTACAACAATCGCAGCAAGACCAACAAAGCTATGAACAGGAACAGTATAAACAAAAAGAATACAGACAAGATCAACAACAATATGAACAGCAACAGTATGATCAACAGAAATATGAGCTACAACAGTATGAGCCACAACAGTACGAACAACAACAGTACGAAAAACAACAATACGAACAACAACAACAGTATGAACAGCAACAGTACGAACAACAGCATTATGAGCAACGACAGTATGAAACTCAACAATATGAGCAGCAAGAGTATGATCAGGAACAGCAATATCGAAAGCAGCAAGAAGAACAACATTTGCAGGATCTACAGCAAAAACACCAATTCGAACAGGAAGAACAGTATCAACAACAGCAGCAATTTCAACAACAACAACAACAGCAGCAACAACTTCAACAACAGCAACGACAGCAGCAGCAGCAGCAGCAGCAGCAACAGCAACAGCAGCAGCAAAAGTTACCGACACAGCAATTACAATCGAGTGTTTTAACTGGGGCTGCAACCTTAGGATCGTTAATGGCGGGTGGCGCTAAAAAGCTAGGAAGCTTATTTGGGGCTGCCGCAGCGGCTGTGGCTCCACCTCAGATGAGTCAGCCAACAATTACCGGTCAAGGAACTATGGCACCTGTTAGTCAAACAACAGGAACTTTAGCTCCTTCGACACCATTCACAAGTACAGCAGCCCCAGTCACTACATCCGTCTCAGAAGTGCCAAAGCCAGTGCCAGTATCAGCCGCGACCTCAACTAGTACACCGGTCTTGCCACGAACACCCTCTCTCAGGAGACAAGAATCTATACAGAGGCCTTCCGTGCGTCGAACGCGTACGCTGCCCGACGCACCAGAAGATTACATTCAATCGAGTTTTGACGAAAGTGCCTACGAGGAAGAGTACCAAAAGACTGAATTAGATCAAAGTATAGACCGAGATAGGACATCTTTGGACAGGTATCATGACGATGAATACATCCAAGATACAATGCAGGAGGAGCTTGATAAAGAAAGTCACGCCCCAGAGGTTTCCAGTCCAAGTTTACAAAAGACTGCATCTCCCACTAGGACCATCTCACAAATACGCAAGCCTTCGGTTGATAGTTACCAAAGTCAAGCACCATCGATACACGATCGAAAAACTTCACAAAGTTCTGTTCATACAGAAGAAAAACTCCCGATTCCTACAACTCAAGAAGGTTAGTGTTGCCTAAAAACTTTTTAGTCATTAAATCAATTGTATGTGTAAAAGCATATTAATTAAAACTAATTATTTATTAAAAATAATTGTCCCATTTTTTGTTTAATATGCAATATGGCTAAATCTATCCCGCTCTTTTTAATTATTACTACAAATACTTTATTGTGTTAGAGCCACGTAGCAGTTTTTGCTATCGGATGAATGTGTACCGTTCGGAGAAGTATTATGGACGCACAGAAGATATAATATAATTTTGCGTCTAGTGAGGCAGACAGCATGTAGATAGGCTCACATTGGTTGGTAAGTCAACTGCAGATTTTGTGGAGCTCCATCGGCATCGATCATCAATTGACATGTTATTACCTCCACCTATGGACATATACAACATGGATCGGTTCCAGATGCGTTGCCAAAATTAAAATACTGGGCCCCGGTTACTTTCCTCATCAGATGATATGTGAAAGAATAACCCTTCCACTTCAAGCCGGTCTTCTGTCAGGCCGTGGTACTTCCCCCTACGAGCCGCCCCGTTCGTGCAACTGCTGAAGCTGTTGCGTGGCGCTAGAAATGAGGAAGAGAACTTTATTGCAATCTTGACGCATAACATAAAATTCGAATAACAAATTATTAGATTACATTAAGTTCTATATTACCATCTTACTCAAGCATTGATTGCAGAATCCATCGCCGACCGATCAAAAGTGACCTTTCAAGACGACCGAACGACGTACCACGAGGTACCTGAAGAATTTGACACGTTCCAACAATCACGGGATTCGTTCGACGAGAACGTTTCCGAGTATCAGGACGATCGGGAAGGTCGTCCTGTTCGCGAGGCGCCCGAGAAGTTCGACGATCACGAGCAGTTCACCGAAAGCGATGAGCAGTACAACGAAGAGACCGTGTTCCAAGAAGAAGAGGACAGGCACAAAGCGGAACAGCTCGACTTCCAGCCGGAGCAGCCGAAGTTGACGCCGAAGCAGCGATGGCACCGCGCCTACAACAAGATTGTCATGCAGCTCAACGTGAGTAATTTTTCCATTTTGGACGAAAAAACCATTTGATTAAAACTGAGTTTCTTTTTCTTTCTTTCGTCATTTTGGACGCAATAACCATTTGATTAAAACTAAGTTTCTTTTGTTTCTTTCGTCTATTTAATAAAGTTTTTAAGTTAATCTAAGTTATTTAGGATAACAATGGAGAAATAACATTTACTTATATTTTATCCGTGTATTTATTTAACAAGGTAAGTTTTTACTTGTAGACTTTGGATTGACGAAGAAAATTGGACAATTATTGTCTTTGTTGGTGGCATTTTAAGGACATTAATTACCACAGATTTTTTTTATTTAACTCAGGTGACTATATTAATTCCAAGATGTATTTCGACATTTAATTAAATTATTACTATTACAGTAGTACTGTAATATTATCAACATCAATAAAAACAATGACTTAATGTGAATACATATAAAATAAATAAATTACGTTATATTACTTCAAATAGGTTAATCATTTCAATCAACTTAAAAGATAGTATTAAAAAACTTTCATTACGTCGTCTTAGTGAAACTTAGTACTTAAATGTGAATCTTAGTTAAGCACTATAACAGCTTGCAAGGTTCCACTTAAATTAACTATCGACCGGCAAAAAATTGAGTGAAGTAAATAAAAAAGGTCTTAGAATACTTTTTCCGTGGCGTCAGAAATAGAATAACTTTTCCTCATTTAAGGCAATATGAATTTAACAGATATGTTTTCTTGACATTTTATATCTTCATAATAAAGTTTTACACCTAATAAAATCAGCAATACAGTTTTGTAAGAAAACATGATTTCTCATTATTTAAATATAAAAAAAATCATTAACATTGAGTTGTCTAAAACTACAAAAGTGTTTAAAATACTCGTAACTAACCAATAACAAAATACTCGTAAAGGCAATAAGATAATATTATGTGGATTTTCTCATTTTCCCCATTGTCAATTTCAAATTGGTAGGTTATTGTTCGACTTCCGCAATTGCCTTAATTATTATTGGTGTTAACAACGTCCTCTATCGTTTATATCTATTCAAACAGTACATTACGCGCTATATAGAGTAACAATATAAAAGCATCTATGAACAAAACGTAGTGTAATGCACCCCGCTGAGGCGGAATGTAGTTGCGTATCGCAAATGCGAAAATGCTGTTATTTCGCCGCACGACGCTGACCTCCCAATGGTGTAATGGGTAACCTTGAAGATAAAGGCCGCTTGTCACCACCATTTGATTTAGACGTAAAGGATTTCTCGAACTATTTCAACTTTAAAATCTAGAAAGTAAAACATCGTGATATGGAAGTAACATTCCGTTGGAATAATAAGAATTGTGAATTTTTTACTTATTACAATTTATAAAACTCGTAATCCTTTATTCGTTAAAAAGGTAAGTTTAATAACTTAAATTATAAACATAAATTAAATTTCAATTGATTTTTGAAACCAGGGTAATTATTACCAGGGTTATTAATCCTACCTTAAAACAATTAAATTTTTTTCAAAAGAAGTTTTCAATCTTCTAACAATGTCTTTAATGTTTTAAGTTTATTTGTATCGTTAAGTCTCCATTAACGCAATTCTATTTAATTGTCTGTCTTTCGTGTATAACTTTTTAAAATGTTAGCGTGATCCCATATATTGTACCCCTTATTCTGGATAATAGACTAATTGAACTTAAGTTATTCTTTTAATGCCAGAATTTATCTATATATAAGATCCACTAAAAGCGTACAAATAAAGAAATAATATTTATTAACTAGCTAAATAACAATTTTAAAGAACAGTTAGTGGTATTATAGGGTCTTGCTTCTTGTTTTGAATAGCATTTCGTTAAACGTTCTTCTATGATGTGTCTAAGCCAAAGACACCTATAGCTTTGTACCGACTGTTCGTTAAGTGGTGTTCGCCGCCCGCTGGGTCCCGTGGCGCTTTGAACCCGATCAACTCATTAGTTCAACTGAACTGAGCTTGCTCCGGCCACACATACGTATGCTACGCTTACAACGTTCAGTTCGAAAACTGCCACTGAGCCGACCACACCGATATCGCAATCCGGTTGCTTGTGAGAAGGACGCTCATCGAACTATTGCATCGTCACCGTATCGCTAAGCGATGGCGCCGGAAGCGAACGAGGACGCGATAGCGACATCCTGCGGGCGGCCGTGGCCCTAATTTGCTCGACTCGCGCGCACCTATCAGCCGTCCGTATGCAAATTAATTACAGCCCAGGTGCTATCACTCCGCGGTAGGCAGTAGCGGTGAACGTTCATGAGTACAGACAGGCACTCGGCCGCCGCATAGATGTTCAGGATGATGCGTAGTCGAAAGGGCCAGGCCGCTAGCGAGGCGGACATCCGCCGCGAGCAGGCCTTCACAAGCCGCGCGAATGTGACCGGCACCCGGCTTCGCGTTCGACGCGGCTCCAGCTTGACCGATCTGGACAAGCTCCGCTGCTGCGGTGGCTCCAGTGGGGGCGGCTCTATCGGTGACCTTATGAACATGTTCAGTGGCAGTGCGAACTCGGTCGGCAGTGATACGTTGCTCGCTCGGACCATGCCCCTGGAGACGGTCAGGAGGAATGCACCAACGACCCCCGTGTCCACGCCGCCCGCGCACCCGCCACCCTCTCCGCTGATTCACGTGTCCAGGCCGGTCGGTCCACTAACTATGGCCCAGCGGACCCTGAGGTTCAGCCGCCTCCTAAAGTATCAGCCATGTTCAACCGATGTCGTTATAATCCTGGTGAGTTATAAACAACATTGCATACTATAATTGTTTAATCTGTTTAAACGTTATTGCCCTTTTTCTCGATCTCACAGTCTCTTGTTCCACCTAAATTCTTGAATTCACTGTCAAAATAAAAAACTGTTCATCGAATATTTTCTTTAAACAATAGAATTAAATTACTCAAAGATACTCAATAAGTTTAAGTTTCATGACATTATCAATAACATACGACATACGAGAAACGTGTTGGTTTTCCAAACAGTATGAGTTATAAACTGTACAAGAATACGTTTCTGATTATAGTAATGATGAAAAATTTTAATTCTATGTTATTTGTCACATATTAAACGTAATTCAAATTATTCAAGTTATGAAATTCAATAAAAGGTAATTTTTTACTGAGTCTTTTTAAATACAAATGTGATAAAAACGTGCTGCTGTATTATTAAATGGTTGACACACAGTAATTTATAACTAAAAGTTAGAAATACAGTACATATGTATATAAAATGGTATTTATTTTACTTCTTATCCTTCATATAAACTTTACTTCCATATTAAAGCTCGCTGTGAAACTGCCTTTTCTCCCCTACCATCTACTTTAAAGTAGATTTTAGTGTAAACACAAGTTTATGTTAACATCCACCGTGCAGAATTTATCTAGGAGTGTCATGAAATTTCAGCAGTTGCATTTATTTAAATGTCGGACTTATTTACATGAGGAGCGACAGCGAGCTGAGAGCAATTTTTCACTGAGGGAATAATAAATACTTGGGTTATTTTAAATCTTAGCATTTATTTTATGAAGCTATCTGAATTCATTACAAAAATATTTTTTTCATTCGAAAGAAGGTAACTTTTGTATAGTCATTCTGTACATGTAATATACATACATTAAATTAATAGATTTGTGTACAATAGTAGTTAAAATTTTATTGAATGGATTTTATCTCACAGTACGAAATTTGAAGGGATTTTTGTCTCTAATATCAAATAAAGAATCATAAGGGTATGGTATATTCGAATTATTTGCCTATTGATGAATTACTTTGTACAGAATCAACACATATAACGCACTCCGTGGTCGTCTATTTATATTTTTTCATTACGCATATTTCTTCATGAATTTCAGTAAATACTTCAACTTGGGCATTTCGATGTTATGGATGCACCTGTTGAAGTCTCCAATCACTTTGACGGAGTGCGTCATCATCCTTGATATTATGTCTTTAAGGCAAACACTTAGATCCGACACCTCTTTGAAACCATGAATTGCGATTTCAGCCATCACAACTGGAAAAGGCGACGTTTCGTAAAGGAACTGAAACAATGAAGAAGACGCTTTTCAGAGAGTCTGTGGAAAATTCCTACAACTCCTTCTGATTAGTTATACGTACAACAGTCCTTTCAAGGTCTTGGCTTTCATGTGAGCAATTCCCTCCGACCTGCTGTTGTTTCTGGCATTCGAATAATTTCGATGCCGAATATTTCTTCAGATTTTCTAATGTTTCAAAGTGCACTTGCAGTTTTTCTGTAACAAGTTCATACGATCATTTTATTCCGTACATTATGCTTTCATACAAATTTTTGAATACGATGATTTTACTGTTACTAGTTTTTAATATGAGCGGACGAAATAAACTGTGCTCCATTTATTTTCTTATTTAAGAACGGAAAGTGTGTGAAAAATTTGAGTTTGTAATATGCATATTTAACGTTTTTCAAAAATATGCTAAAAATCCAGGGCATAGATATAAGCACATTTTAGCATGTGCCAATAAAAATCGAACTGATGTATAGTTGCTGTATCCATTACGCATCGTTTCGCATATCACGATATAAACACTTTATTACCTTTAAATGTGATAAGCATTTTATCTTATCATAATGTTAAAATAAATACCTAATAATCGTACTCACTGTTATTAATGCAAGCAGATGCGAGCTTTTAGAAAAAAATATTGTTAAGTTTTCTGAAAATCTTTGAAAATAAATATTATCTCTTAATATATTGATTCGCGGAACTTGAATACTAACTTAGTGTATTGTATATAATTTATTAATGTTAATATTAAACCTATAATATTCTATATGTTATTGCATAGATTTACAATCTAAGGATTTGGACCGACTGAATTTATCAATGAGAACCGTGCATGTGAGACAAGAACCAAAAATAACTCTTTACAAAAATATACACATTAAAATTTTAAATTTACAACGTACATGAATTAACAAGCAATGCGTTACATTACAATTAAACAACGATCTGGTTGGCTGTAAATTATTATTGTACAAGTACTGATTGTTTTGGATACATCCTTTATTGAAACGGAATCACACGGAACAAACAAGGAAGGCTGTGCCAAAATAAAACGCTGCCCGTATGTAGGTTAACAATGATACTTTACTGTTTGAGGTTTGTAAGCATTCACTGCAAGCTATAATAACAGTGACTGTTATAAACGGCAGTGCACTGAAATGCCGTGTTCGAATAATTTTAAACCCTATGTCCTTTGCAAGAAGGTGCAAGACAACAAACAGGATAGAAACAAGAGACGAACACACTCTTTTGTAATAATTGTTAAAAACTTAATAAACAATATCTTACATATCTACTTACCCGGTAGTCTTTGTACCCTCTGATATCCAAGAGCTAAACATAATGTAACATTCTCATCTGCCAACTGCAGATTCTCTCCCAAGAGTTTTACGATGCTCTCTTTACAATAAGTTCCATTTCTCGGCTTCCTATCGTGAATTATAATCTAAAACAATTGCGTTGGCATATTACAAATGATGCGGAGATAACAATTGTTCGTTAATGTTTTCAAACTATCCCATTCTATCTTATAAATGGTAAATAACAACTAGCCCCCGTTTGAGTTTGCGCTTTGTTGTTTCAGTGGTTAACACAATTGTCTAAGTTACTAACTTCAGCCACACTTATCCGAAACTTTAACGCGTACAAAGTCGGTTATAGCACACAATGGCCTCAATTTAAACAATTTGTATAACTTAATTTGATTATATTTGTATTATTAGTGCATAACATATTTGTTAATGATGCATATAACTGTGAGCGCACCTGAAAGTATAATGATATTTGTTCAAGGTAGACCGTCATGTAATTAATGGCTTTGTCTGCCTCGTTCTTCATGAGAAGTTTGATTTGTGACACCAATGTATCCATGTCTTCTCGTGATTTCTGTGTTCGCACTTGTATGTCCGCTATCAACGTTCGGTACCCATTGATAAGGTTGTCTTGGAAGTCGGTCGTCTGGAATTAATATTTGAAACTAACTTAAGTACGTTAGTAAGAGAGTATTGTCTATTGATCGCACGACCTCCTAATATTCTTCCGTTTAATTTTCCTGGTCCTAAGGTTGTCTGGAAGAGATCTCTTTTAGCGAAAAGACCACCTTATTGTAGCTTAACTTTAAAGATTTTTTAATATATAAATTGTATTAAATTCCTTATGGTGTACTATATAAATCTATATAATAGTAATAATACTAAAAACAGTTGTTTTCAGTATTTCTTAGATATGTTTTTAATAAATCTATTATACGTTTTTCACGACGATATACAAAAACTTTCCGTTTATAATTGTCGTGAAAACGTACGCTTTTAAACGTCAGGGAAAAAATGTAAGTGTTTTAGGTTCATATTATTATTATATTTTGTATAAGAACGTTGAGTTTTCAAACTTTAATAAAATGTAACCTCAAAGAAACGACGCTGTGTTGCTATTGAGTAATTAACTACTCTACGTGCTAGTGTTTATTCCATTTCACCTTTTTCGAACCGATAAAAAGAGAGAACCAATAAAAAGAGAGACGGCGTAACTCTAAACACTCCTCGAGTTTCAAACGTGTCACGTTATTGCGTGCCGCAAAACGGATAAGGTCCGAAGGCATTTAAACTGTGCTTCTATATTCCAGGACAGATTCATATTTTCTGATCATTTAAAACATTTTTCGCGATATAATAGATTGATAATAGAATTTTTCTTTTTTCCCCTTAATAAAAAAACTATTCATTTATTTATTCTTTATGCATACACATGTAATGCCATCATCATTATCTCCCAGACAAACTTGAGGTGGTTCAGAAAAGCTTAGGTTAGGTGTATTATACATAGATATTACAAGCTATCGGAAACAATTTATAATATCTACATTACATATTAAACCTACGTTTCCCAATCTATTCAGGATATTTTACTGTTACAACTACGTTGTACACAAATCAATATCGCTTTGGCAAGCAGTTCCCGAATGATTGTCTGAAGTTAACGAAATACTTATCCCGTGTTGAACCCACTATCGACAGGTTGTATAAATGTTGAAAATTGAACTCGCAAATGAAATAATAGAATCTATTACAGCGCTTACTGGCGTTTCCGTATATTAAGACTGTGTACAAAATTACTTCAACTCCTTAGGGAAATAGTAATTGAAGACAAATAAAGCACTCTCTTGTTTGTCTGGTCTCATGATGCACGTGGTTTTTTTTTTTAAATTGTTTGATTAAAGCAATATTTGTCTGTATTTAGAGTTTTCCTTAGTTTTTTAATTCAGTAAGAAATTTTAACTTTACCTAAGTGATAAGATTTTAAGTCATAATTTATCTCGAAAAAAAAAGTAAAGTAAAGTAACAGCCTATACATGTCCTGCTTCACTGCTGGGCAAAGTCCACCACGCGGCCCCACTGCGGATTGGCGGATTTCACATATTTTCGAAATACATTTTTTTTGTTATTATTTCGAAAATATGCAGGTTTCCTCACGATGTTTTCCTTCACCGCGGAGCACGTGATAATTCAGCGCTTAAAGTTAAAAAACTTCATTGGTGCCGGCACGGGGGATCGAACTCAGGTTGCTCGATATATATTGAATTAAAGGCGAGCGCCCGGACACTGAGCTATCACGGCTCTACAGGTTTTTCTATCAGGCTTGCATATATGTCCTAAACCAACATTACCTTACATTTTCAAGCATTTATTTAAAAATTAAAAAGCAACCCAAGATAATACGTAATGTTAAAAAGTTTTTTTTATTTGCACTAACTAATAAAAAACTTTTAAAGCTGTAGTTTTTTTATGTACTCTAAAATGTACAAAAAAAATATTAAATTGAACTTACCTGCAAAGTCATTACGAGAAGTGCGGAGGCGAAAGCTATGAACACGTTACAATTCATTTCCGTTTGTTTATGCCACACTGCACTTCAACTTTCCAATACTAACATCCTACCGGAAATTCCGGTGTTTGCTTTTATTGCTTTAATAAAAATACAAAACGCAAATCTGGCAACTAATTATGCCGTTTAAAAAAAAGAGATATTAGGAAAAGATGATATTTGATTTACTATGCTCTATCCGTCACTTGACCGTCGAATGCGAGGATACCACAAATTTCTTCATCGATCCGTTTTGAGTGAAAATCGCCGTTCAACTGATTGTTCAAAAGGGAAATGTTGTTTTGCCTTACGCCGCAGATTGGCCCGTTTGTTATGAGTGCGTTCCGAAATCAATCGGCGATTATCACGGCTTGGACCGCGCTATTGGTTTATACCGCTTTGAATCATTCAGCGTTAACTCATTCGTTTTATATTTTCAAAGTAAATATTTGGTGTTGTGACTCGATGTCAATGGACAGTTCTGACTCGTCGCCGATAATGATATGTATTTGTTCGATTTAAATGTAAATATGCATTGTTATTGCATTCATTCTGATCTTTTGTATTGACAGTTGGTCGTCCGGTTGCGGATCTCTATGTATGCGATCTTCGACGAACAGGTGACCTCAGTTTACTTGCAAGATGTTTTATAAATTGTCGCTAATGTGTGCTAGACTTTGTTTAGTAGAAGAGTAACTCATTCAACAGTACAGAGGACAGGTAAAGTTATATGTGTTCAGTTCATTTGTGACAGGAAACCTTTTTAATTGTTGTGCTAAGGATGAAACTTGTTGTGTCTTTGTGTCGTCCTGGTAAACTTAGTAGTAGTTACAGATGTGAACTTCTCAGCACAATATGAACTTTCATTGCAGATTTCAGTCAGCAATGATATGTTTTGTACAAATTAGTTTGTCGAATACTCGAATGATATAAACAATATTCCCAGATATTTTTTTTAAGAAAAAGAGGACAATAAAATTTTATTGCGTATAAAGTTTTGCTATTAGGCCAAAATATTTCTAACAAAAAACCTTTTAAGTAGGAAGTTATATTTCCATGCGTTTGAATGTATTTTGGTTGTCTACAGAAGAAATGGATTTGAGATGAAATAGGAACAATACTCGTATCTGTTAAGTGTTTTGTAGAATGTAAACAAGAGTTTGTGGCCCTAATATTTAAATTGTAAGTGATTCATATTCACTCCCTAATCCTCGTAGAATAGCGCTTAGTATATAGTTGCACACTTAAGCGAGAAAAGACTCATTTCGAACTGTTGAATAAAGTAAAATTAATAAGTAATTGTTTGTTAAACATCTATCTTTTCCATATAAATTTGATTTTTAAAATTTTTTATAATGAAAAGTAAAGCTCTCAACAATTTACGATCACGATACATTAATTTTTATACCGCCATCTAGCGGTCTATTATAATGTACAACTGATAGAAAGGACAATTAAACCAAGTGTTGTGACGAATAATTTCAGATTGAGTATTTTTAAATTGTAAGTATGTATTTTGTATGTACATAATTTGATGTGTTTATGAAGGAATAGTGTATTTTTTCCATTCGAAGTCTTATAATCTAATAATCAAACTGATAGTCTAAAGTTTTAAGCAATTTGAGATTTTTCAGGCTTACAAATAAACACTCGTCCAAAAAAAATTCGCTACAAAGTGTACTATCGAATAGATCCTTAATTTTCCTTAAAAAACAATACAACAGGAAACAATACAAAACAGAATTTGACCTGTTTAATTATCAAAAACAAATCAAGTTCTTTTACTTTAGACAAAATGTTATCACTAAATTGTGTGCATCAAATTTTTTTTTAAGCTAAATACGCAAAGCCTTCGGTTTTGCTGCGTCGCAATTACTGTACTCGAGGTGCGAAATAGTTTCTGTTGTGGTACGGATCGCTCGGCCTCTCATAAAAGAGAATTGAGTAAAAGCTAAGTTGACTAAACTTAGCGTTTCATACGATGGGTAACAGAAGGGTGGTCATGTCTGTCAACTTTATTGCCATCCCGAAGGTAACACCCGAACGTATTGTGGATGTACACGTGAACCAATAAAAACATGATGTGAACAGTGGTTCACCTTACGTGTATTCAGCTTGTTGTTCCCTATTTGGTACACAAATATTAACAAATTATACAATTCCCAAAATAACAATTCCTTGGTGTATGGATATAGCGATACTTATATAAACTGTTATATAGGTATCGCTGCTCGAAATTGAGATCACAATGATTTAATCACGGAAACAATATAGGTAACAAAAACTGTGTATGTTAGTGGCAATGGCTTTCAATTGTCGACAATGGAATTGAATTGTTGACAAACACCTCGATGTTCTTCTCTACACTTCAATTAATTACATTTTGTCTAGTAGCAGTATGTTTGTGCAGAAATTGAATGATGGTTGCATTCTGGATACCGTAGCTCATTTAAATTGCTCGGTCGTTCAAGCTAGAAAATTCAGTGTCACAGTTTTAGTGCTTATACTCCCCCGAAACGGCTTAATCGGTTTTGATAAAACTTTATATGTATGTTCGGTAGGTATGAGAATAGGTTTATAACCAATTTTATACCCCTAAGTGATTTTTCCAAACATTTTTTTTCCTTATAAATAATTTACATGACAGAATTAATAAATTTTACGTAGTAATATATTAATAAATTTTACAGTATTTTATAAATTTTACGTGAATTATTCTGTGTATGATGTTGTAGTAAAACCTCTTTGGTTGTATTATAGTGTCTGGTTTTAGAACCATTTATACAAAAATTAAAAAAAATAATAAAAATCTGGGGCCGACTGAAAATCAGCGCTGCATTCCTGTGGCTCGTAGTCTCTTTTGCCACCTTGTCACAAAACCCATGGATTTATTGTTTTGCTATAAAACTATTCTATAAAAAGAAAATATATGTACGGTGTTATTTAAAGTTATTAATCAATTAAGAACTGGAGATTGACCACAAAACCTTTTTTTTTAAAGTCTGGGCCTGGCCATTTGCCAGGGTAAGCGCATTCGGGGAAGTACCACACAAGACATTTCGTTCGTTATGAGCTTTTGTCAGGCAAAACCATAGATTGGATCTCTGCTTATAAAGGCTGAGATTCAAAATGAGTCTCGAGCGAGAAATTGAGAAAAAACGGGCGGAATTTATCAACAGAAAGGGTGTCTTTCATCATGATAACGCATCAATAAGAACAAAGTGATATAGTTTGGTTGGAAAGCGTTAATGCAACCACCATGTATTATTCCTGACCTTTTGCACTTACATTTCGACCCGTTTCGCTCTCTTCAAGTTTTTGGGTAGCTATAAGGTTCACATCACTAAAAGACTGTCAAAACTAATTTTCATATTTTTTTATCAAAAGTCTCAAAACTCCTATCTCATCGGGATTATGTCATTTCTTACAAGATTTGCAACAAGTTATCGAACAAAGTGGCACATAAATATTTTATCCTTTAAACGAGCAATTCTTGTATATATATATAGTACCTGGAGGACCGAGCTTTGCTCGGTTTGTTTTTTTTTTTTTTGGTAAATCATGTATTTTGGAAATTACATTTAGATACAAATTACTGAGAAATGAAATATGCATAATATTTTTCGATCTTACCGACGTAATAATAAGAAAATATGAACTGGTGTTTTTTACAAAAGAAAGAATTTAAAAAAAAGGGAAAAAATAACAAAATAAGAAATCGACAAAAAAATAAAAAATAAAGAAAGCAATGATCTGGAATCGAAAAAAAAGTAAAAAAATAAGTGTGTGTGTGTGATCCGAACCACGGCCGTCTGTTTTGGGGCCGCCCGATTACCGACCGAGCTATTATAATATTTTTTTTTGTGGCGAAATTTACCGTCACATTCGAATGATATTTTTCATTTTCGATTTCTCGCCCCCGAATCTACGCACATACTAAATTTCATGAAAATCGCATGAATAATGAGTGGTTCTCCAGGTACTTGTAATTAAACGTTGAAAAATAAAAATGCCTTGCTATAAAATTGTAGCTGTGGTAGGGTCACGCAACAGTGTACGCTTTTGCACGAATCACCACGACCGGCGTGAATTAGAAGTGTTACACTTCTGCGTTTTATCTGGTAGGTAGCCGGGGCCCACTTTATTAAAAGGTGGCAATGAATCGGCAACGCTATGAGTTTTGCAAATGTCCATGCTTGGCGGTTATCACTCAACATCAGGTGAACCGCCACCTTGTCTGCCACTTTCTAACATATAAAAATGTGTATTAGATTCTCTCTGACATATTTTGCAAATTTCATCGCATTTAATTCTGATTTTCCGGCTGATTTGTCGCCCGTCCTTCCCGTGATCATGAATGCTAAAAACGGATTCTAAACGTTAAATTTCAAAATTAAGTTTATTTTCTTGTTTTGTCTTGTTTGTTTCTTGTGCAGGTTTTTAGAAATTAAAATAGCTGTAAGCAAAGTTCGATGGATTGTCGTATAAAATAATTTCCTATGCTTTGATCAAGAGCCAATAATGTCTACTGGCGGTTAAATTAATGTTTTTCTACCATATTAATGAGTTCAACTTATATTCAAGTCCATGAAACTTTAAATGTCTTATATATTTGTACGTTTGACCGTGTCCTATTGTGGGAAGGATTGTTAGCTCAAAGTGAGTAAAAGTCACTCAAAATGAAACTTAAAGTTTTGTTTCTTTAGAAAAGTAGGAAGGGGCTTCTGTTTCTTCAGTGGACTAATTGTGAGGTACCATAATAATGATGACACCATCTATCGCATAATAGACAAAAAACTGCGCAATGCCATATCATTTATATCCGATCAACTGTTAGAATAAAGTCAGCAGAGTTAACGCATTAAATATCCTTTTATAAAATATAGTTTAATCCGGCAGCCGTGACACAGTTCATACTAGTACGGCTGCCGACGTTAACTTATTAATGTATTTGATAGAATTTTAAATTGTTTTAGTCATGATGTAAAATTAGTGGAGCAAATAAACAAATGTTATTATTA